AGATCATTGGCCGTGGCGTCCAGCTTGGCTATCACCAGGTTCTTCTCAGATTTGAACTTCTTGGCCAACTCTGCGTAGATAGGCTCCAGCTTTTTGCAGTGTCCACACCAAGGGGCATAGAGTTCAATGAGGACGTCTTTCTTTGGATTAAGCACAATCTCATTGAAGGTGTTGGCAACTACGACAGTTACTGGCCCTGTTTGTTTTTTAGGAGCTCTCTGTGACTTGATGTGGGGCTTCAGTTTACCTGTAAAAAACGATCTATGTCCAAGATGTAGCTATAAATATCAGTGATGTTTCAAACATCAAGTGCCCAATTAAATTTGGGTCAGCGGGTCAAGGGCATTGGAACAGCTATGAAAAAAATTGAAGAAATTATTAACTGAAATCAACTCATAATACTAGAAACAAAAATGGGTCCAAAAAATGTACAGCTTGCCCACAGAAAAAGTAAAGAAATTTAAAGGAGAAATTAATTGTGTATTCATAACTTTATGATAATAGAAAGGATAGTTGCTTTTTTCAACATATGAGCCGCCTCAGGGGTTGTCAGGCCTTATTAATGACAGTTTTAAAACTTTAATTTAACTTAGCTTTAATACTTTAATTTAGCCTAGTTTTAAAACTTTAATTTAACTTAGCTTTAATACTTTAATTTAGCCTAGTTTTAAAACTTTAATTTAACTTAGCTTTAATACTTTAATTTAGCCTAGTTTTAAAACTTTAATTTAGCCTAGTTTTAAAACTTTAATTTAGCCTAGTTTTAAAACTTTAATTTAGCCTAGTTTTAAAACTTTAATTTACCCTAGTTTTAAAACTTAAAGTTAGCCTATCCCGCTTACCAAGGGTCCGTCTACTTTAATAAACGTAAGAAATTAGGGACTGAGAATTCAGCTGATTTCCTGTTTAAGTTGCATCATGACTTTTTTGTTTTCTCATAGCGATTAATTTGAGGTCTGAAGTAATGACCCACCAAAGGCAGAGAATGTTTGGAAATGAACTCTTTCACATCATCAGCTGTGGTGTCAGACTGAAGACAAAATGGCATAGCATAAATAAAGCCAAAAAAGTAAATGATGTCTGTAAGAAAAAGTATATGATGACAGTAAGACAAAGCAAATGATAACTGTAATACAAAGTATATGACGGTAAGACAAAGCAAATGATGACTGTAAGACAAAGTATGATGACGGTAAGACAAATAAATGATGACAGTAAGACAAAATAAATCTTGGCGGTAAGACCAAGTAAATCATGGCAGCAAGACCAAATAATTCTTGACAGTAATATCGTTAAGAAAATATAAAAACAATTTAAATAATGGAATAAAAATATTAAAGATTGAAATTTGTAGAGGTAGACGATAGTTTGTAACTTACCTTTATATTCAGGATATACCATTTCTGTTCATACTTAGTGTAAAACCGTTCAGCATTAAACACCACAACAGAGTTGGGAGGAATCTTGTACGCCTTCCTTGCCTCTTCATCATATGTCACACCAAATGAGTACTCATCCCTGATTTCATCAGCTGCCAAAACAAGTTAAAATAATAAACCTTGCTGTCGTCCTAATATGTGGACGAACCAATATAAACCAATAATGATCATGGCCTAACATTATGTGGTGTATTTTATTTCAGCTGGAGTAACAACAGTTCAATTTTGATAGATTGATTGGATGTTAGATAATAGCAAAATCACACAGAAGACCGCTAATTTTTTTGCAGATAATAAATCAGTAGCGGTAATTTATTTGTCTTGTACGAAATGATTTCACTTCAGTTTAAGTAGATCATATAAGATTGATAACACTATGTATTGCTAATATTTCAAATTGAGCATAAAGCTATTGTTCAGGTTCTTACCCACATCCTTATAAGGTTTAAGTAAAAGATTATCCTGGGACTCAAAGAATCCAACCACAGTGATGTCATCAACTGAGAAGAAATCTTTCAATTCTTTGACATTTTTAATGACTTTAGCCCCATCTCCGACCTGGTTCTTCATGAAGACTACAATATCTGTTGGAAGACAACAAAAAAATTCATTTAGCGTAAAATCAAAGTGATATATATCTATCATTTCTTAGCTTATGAATCTGAAAAAGTGAGTTTTTTTAAAATTTGGTTTCAGTGTGTCAGATAATTTGGGATGTCTTCTTCCTAACAACTCATTAGATGGTAACTTCTGTGTTTCATTGTTAGGGTTTTTCCAAAAAGCATAAAGAATATGTTGTTAAGCTGATCAGTTGATTCCACCCAGGATTTGGGGGCAGATGAGATCATTTTGTAGCACTAAGCCTCCACACAAATGGTGCTCATACATTTATCATTTTAATTGCTCATCCTTCTGACGCCAGGATGACCAAAGCAATTTTGGACTTGAGTTATGGCCTTGAATTGAGCTGGATTTTGTTTAAAGTGAGGGAGAGTGGCTCATGAGCCTCACTCTCTTGTCCTTGCCCATTTAATCCAATGGCAAGACTTAGGAAATAGACCAGGAAGCATTAGATGATAGCAGTGTTTTTTTGTGTGTGTTTCACCGTGCTCTCTAGGTGTTCTAGGTCGCCAGAGTTTTCGAAATGTTCTAAAATATTTAAATGACTCAACAACACATACTTTATTAAAATTCTTCACTGATGGAGTGTGCAGTGGGTTAACATTTGATTAGGTCAATGAATAATGTGGATGCGTCATCATAAAAAGTCGAAACAAGAATGATTAAAAGAATCTTTTTACTACTGTTTTGCTATTTTATTCTGGATATCAATTAAACTTCTAAGCATGAGACCTGACTATAAAGTGAGACTAGAGATCAAATTCATACCATATTCAGAGTCAGTTTTTCCATTGTAAGGACTAGGGTTTCCTTTGCGAAATATTTTGAGAGTCGGGTACCCTTCAATTTGGTACTTTTGTGCCAGGTCAGTTTCTTTCGTGGCATCCACTTTGGCAAGTGGAATAGGAGGATCATTTTTCAACAGTGTCTTTGCCGCCTTTTCATATGTGGGTGCCAATCTCTTGCAGTGACCACACCTGAACATAAAGGCAGACTTAAGACGCTTGAGCAAACTTTGTCTAATAAAAGATTCAACATCCACGTTGAAATTTCTATACATTTACAACATCTTCCTCAGTTGAAATAATTAAAGTATCATAATAATGTTTAACAAAACTAAAATAATGCAAGAATTATTATGATGTAAATCAAAACTATAAATAGGTCAGGTCGGACAGTCTAAGTCAATAATGGAATAGTCAAATGCCTTTTGTTTTAAAGTCATTATCAATATGTTAGTGAGTCTACTAAGGGAACTCAGACAACTTGCCATGGAGAGTAAAACTCAACTCAAAACATCAACATGATAGTGATCAGCAAAAACAATATTCATAAACAATTCTAAAATTGACGTTTTATTTGACCATTTTGTCAAGTAAAGGACTTTATAAAGTTAACTATAATTTGTTCCTTAAAAGTTTTAAAAGAATTTTAAAAAATCGGATTTTAAAAAAATAGTGTAGTGTTACTAAACTTTTACTTTAAACAGAACTCATTTTACTTGTAAGGTTACTGTTGTAAAAGTACAAACCATGGAGCATAAAATTCAACAAGAATGATTGAGTTATCATTAATAGCTTCCTCGAAGTTGTCTGAACCTAGAACCAGAACAGAATCTTCATATCTAAGTGATCCATCATTATTTCCTTCATTCTTGTCATCAAATTGAAAAAAGAAGATAATTAGTCATTATTGCCTGTCATAGTGCAAATAGATGCAGTCAAAATTTAAAAATGAGTTAGAGTAGGCTTGAAGACTGTATTATATATTATTTATATATAATATGTCATTATGAATCATACATTTTTAGTCTAAAACTTTAAACTATAAAAGTGTCAATGGATAATTCCCTAATTTTAGCATGATTAATTATTTCTAGTTTGTGCTGAATAAAATGAAAAATGAGACAGTGTTAGTGGTTCTATATAATGTGTCTTGGTAATCTGTTTGTTCTGGTACTCACTTTGCTATAGCCATTTTGTTCATTACTTTCCTGCATTTCAACTCTTTGTAAATAACCAACTATTTATTGACTACAAAATCATCGCAAATTTAAAAAAATAAACTTGACTCTTTTATTAGACAAAAAAGGCTAGACCCTTTATGTCCGAAATGGATGTGGCCGTGGAACCGTGTCAAGAAAAATGTGGCACTTGGGCGGAAAATGAGCCCCTTGGTAATGACACACCTGGTGAGTACCACCATGGCCCTGCACGGATGTCCAAGATGCCTAGAACATGAGATACTTAAATTTTTTAAAATTTTCTAATCCCACCACTGGTTTAGAAAGAAATATCTGACACCTCGCTAGACATAATTAATTACAGCTAGCGCTCGACTTACTACTACGATCGGTTCCGACCGGTTAACACGATTTACCACAATGGCGCCATGAAAGACAAAATATTCATAAAATATACTTTTTTTTATATCATACAATTTTTTAACCTAAATGGTTGTTGTATTCCAACAAAAAAATTCTAATCCACCACGTGAGCTCGGCCAAGAAACTCCATTTGTTCCAGTTTGAAGCATTGAAGTGCTATTTAAACAATTATTCTTTTATATGATAAGATCTAAAATGATGGAAATTTTTTTTTAAAGACATTGTTAGTACATATTTGTTTCAGCACATATATAATACAAATAATACAAGCCATACGATTATAAATAGAACAACTGAAACAATTCAAAAATTTTTAGAGAGAGGAATTTAAATAATTTATTAATTATTCATAGTTCTCACCCAAGATGACAAAGAAGTTTTAAAAAATATCATTTCCACGATATCGTTTGCAGCACATAAATTTGTTTCAATAGGAAGGGAAACGATCCAGCTGGTGGCAAACTGTGTGTGGACATCAACATCACTTGAATCAACAAAATTGTTTTTGTATATTCCATTTCTGATTTGGTCTATATTGGCATAAGCCGCCCACCCTGCTGATAAAATCGGTAAGCCTGAAAGAATATATCTTCCAATACACTCTTGTAACATCAACGCACATCGGTCTGGCACAATGAAAACATAGAAAACAATGCCCACTCTCTCTTTCTACGCCACCGACAATCCAGTGACCCTCTCACACTGTCCACGGTGGTATTATAATTATGTTATATATCTGCTGAAATGGATTTGTATAATGTAATTTAAAAAACAAAGTGGCGGCTATTCGTACCCGGGTACCAGAAGTGAGAGGTTGGGATTAAAAAACTATTAAAAATTTCATTGTTGGGTTTGTATGAAAAAATGAGGTATCAAACTGAGTCAACATGGACCCCAGACACGCAGCGCCGCCATTCGCACCCGGCTACCATTAGACTCAAGCTATTCGGATGTCATTTGTGATAGTTTATTTTAGTTCAACTGAAGAAGTAAGTTTACAAACATATAGTCCATTCAATTACCTTTCATTTAAGGTAATCTACCACTTGAGCGTCGGCCAAAAAAAAACCATCTGTTCCGGTTGGAAGGGCTATTTAAACAACTATTCTTATATTATATTATTTTTAATGACATTGGTTGTACGTATGCATTCCCATAACAATGGAAAATTTAAAAAAAAAAAATAGTTAGTAAACGAGTCGTAGGTTCAAGACAAAAGTCCTTCCCCTCCCTTACCCAATCAATATACCAACTCCCTCTTACCCCTATGCCGTCAACTCCCATTTCGCCTCTAAGCTCTTAAATCACACAACCCTTTTTCCCCATTAAGTTTTCTTACCCTTAAACTTCTCTCAATTTATCCTAATGAGATCATCATCGAAGATTGTAACACGAACACCCTCACTTGACGGGACGCGAATGATAATGTAGGCCTACTCAGTGGATGTGTACTTACTCCCTTCCTCACAAACGTTCAGTGCCCTGCTTGAAATTAAAACGAATGTTCTTCTTCTTTAATTATTTTAAACTATCGGCATCGTAAACAACCAACCCTCCCACCACCAACTCCGGATTCGCAGGTGTAAACGATCCCAGATTAATAATTATTTGCCCCCCTCCCCCCCCCACACATGTTAAAAGTAATATTGGCAAACTCCAGAGGCGTAGCGAGGGGGGGGCAGGGGGACAGATGTCCCCGGGCGCAAGCTATTTAGGGGCGCCAAAATATACTTTGATATGATATTATTGGTAAAAATAATGGGTTTGAGAGTTGAAAAAAGAAAAGGGGCGCTTTAAAATGGATCTTGTCCCCGGGCGCGAATCTTGTCCCCGGGCGCGAATTTTGTCCCCGGGCGCCAAACACCCTCGTTACCACTTTGGCAAACTCAAAGACTAGGTTGTTTCAAATTCTTGCTACGCTACTCCTCGAGAATCAACAACAAAATATTATTTTTTTCTGAATCTTACTCTACTCACTAGCTCTATTTTCATTTTTTTTTTAAATATAGATCTAGATAATGCCCTGTTCTTGGAATGGAAAGCTTAAAACTCTTCGAAACTAGTCTAAACTACATTATGCCAATCTAAACAAGATGCCGTAGAGGCGTAGAACAGCCAAATGGTCTTCATCAACAGATACAAATTTGCACGATTAAAAAAAAAAAATGTTTTTATTTTTTTCAAGTGAATTTTTTTTAAATATTTTAGAATCTAGTTCTCTCCAAATGTTAACTTACACGTGGTCATGTGCTAATTTTACTTGTCGTAAAATGATTGGTCTATTAAAATACGGTAGATTGTATAAATGCGCAAAAAAATTTAGTTTTACAAAAATAACATAAATTAACTTTAGCAATAATATTTGAAATAAGATTGAAATAAATAATATTTAAGTATCTGAAGGATACTAGTATTTAGTTACAATTCGTAATAATAACAGTCTGCTAACATGCACTGACAGGTACTTTTTTTTTTTTGCATTGACCCGGATGTTGTTATGATTGAGCTTTCTATCCTTACAACCAGTTACCAGCCGGTACATTTCTATCTTAAACCGTGTCTACTGTAAATTTAAAGTTAATGTCCATAAAAAAAAAGTAAACAAATCATTATGCTGTCTATTCTTAAGATTTTTATTATCATTTCTATTTTATTTGCTGCTTTAGTCTTTGCCGCAGCTGATGAACCTGTAACAGATTCAGTAGAAACTGGTTTGTAAGATAATTTTACTTTTATTACTAATTAATTAATTATCTAATTACTGCACTTTTAATTTGAATGAATTATTAAATGGTAATCTACCATTTGAGCGTCGGCCAAGAAAAAATCCAGTTGTTCCGGTTGGAAGGGCTATTTAAACAACTATTCTTATATTGGAGTCTGTTAATATGGTAAAAGTCTAAAGTGCAGTTCAGGTGCGTATATTATTTCTTAGCGAATTTCGTATTTTAAAAAATTGTATCATGTAAACTTACGTGTATTCTTTAATTTTAATAATTAAATACAGGCAGTTATAGTTAACTAATTCTGAATTATAAATCGCATCTTTTCTTTTTATTTTACTTCTAAAGAGTCTTTATCCATCCCCCAACCAAAGTGACACAGCCCTATTTGTTTGCATTTTTCTTTTCACCCTATGCCAGATTTTTAGCCACCTATAAGTTAGTATGCTAAACGAAATAACAATTGCAATGTGGCTTGTAAGCTGGGTTCATATGTGAGCTCCCTATAATTACCGGGATCTGCATATTACGGGATCTCACAGTAACCGGTATCCCACCAGGATCGGTAACCCACTGGATCGGGATCCCACCGGGATCAGGATCTCACTTGGATCAAAATCCTATAGGGATCGGAATCTCACCGAAACGGGATCCCACCGGAATCGGGATCCCACCGGATTGGGATCTCATTTAGTTTGGGATACCACATGTTTTACATGTTTTTAATACTTGTAAAGGGCTTAGAGCTTTAAGGTAAGCGCTATATAAAAATGCCTAAATAAATAAATAAATGGATCTCACCGGGATCGGTATCTTACCGGGATCGGGATCCCACCATGACCAGGATTCTATCGGAATCACATTGGGTTCAGGATCCCATCATGAGCCTTCCGGGTGCCATCGGAAAACGGGAAAAACGAAAGGTTTACATAAGTTATTTTAAGTGTTTTTATAAGAGTCAAATTAATTATTATTTTTTTTACTATAGTTTTGTTGTTGACATTTCCTTTAATAGCAATGTGAACTAAAAGATGTTTTTTTCTCAATGCAACCCCGGGCAACTCCGGTTATAGTTGATAGTAAAGTTATAAAATAAATACATCATTTATTTTAACTAGATTCATCCAACTGGGCAACTTTTATAAAGTATCTTTAAAGACAGAAGAGTTATCCTTGATTTACCATAACGGCTCCGTAAAACAAGAAAGATTCATAACAATGAATTTTTTTTATCTAATAAAATTTGTTAAATTGTTGTTGTATTCCAATATAAAGATAAAGATGGTATATAACTTTTAAAATACTTTTTATAAGGAATTAACATAAGTTTACACTGGAAAATAAGAGATTCAAACAGAAATAATATACGCACCTGAACTGCACTTTTACCGTAAATATTTTTGCTTTCGTATAGGATATAAAGTTATATAGACTGGTATATTGATTGGGTAAGGGAGGGGAAGGACTTTTGTCTTGAACCTACGACTCGTTTCCTAACTATTTAAAAAAAAAAAATTGTCCATTATTATGGGAATGCATACGTACAACCAATGTCATTAAAAATAATATAATATAAGAATAGTTGTTTAAATAGCCCTTCCAACCGGAACAGATGGGTTTTTTTTGGCCGACGCTCAAGTGGTAGATTACCTTAAATGAAAGGTAATTGAATGGACTATATGTTTGTAAACTTACTTCTTCAGTTGAACTAAAATAAACTATCACAAATGACATCCGAATAGCTTTTTTTTTTGGCCGACGCTCAAGTGGTAGATTACCTTAAATGAAAGGTAATTGAATGGACTATATGTTTGTAAACTTACTTCTTCAGTTGAACTAAAATAAACTATCACAAATGACATCCGAATAGCTTGAGTCTAATGGTAGCCGGGTGCGAATGGCGGCGCTGCGTGTCTGGGGTCCATGTTGACTCAGTTTGATACCTCATTTTTTCATACAAACCCAACAATGAAATTTTTAATAGTTTTTTAATCCCAACCTCTCACTTCTGGTACCCGGGTACGAATAGCCGCCACTTTGTTTTTTAAATTACATTATACAAATCCATTTCAGCAGATATATAACATAATTATAATACCACCGTGGACAGTGTGAGAGGGTCACTGGGTTGTCGGTGGCGTAGAAAGAGAGAGTGGGCATTGTTTTCTATGTTTTCATTGTGCCAGACCGATGTGCGTTGATGTTACAAGAGTGTATTGGAAGATATATTCTTTCAGGCTTACCGATTTTATCAGCAGGGTGGGCGGCTTATGCCAATATAGACCAAATCAGAAATGGAATATACAAAAACAATTTTGTTGATTCAATATGTTACAAGAGTGTATTGGAAGATATATTCTTTCAGGCTTACCGATTTTATCAGCAGGGTGGGCGGCTTATGCCAATATAGACCAAATCAGAAATGGAATATACAAAAACAATTTTGTTGATTCAAATGATGTTGATGTCCACACACAGTTTGCCACCAGCTGGATCTTTTCCCTTCCTATTGAAACAAATTTATTTTCTGCAAACGATATCGTGGAAATGATATTTTTTTAAACTTCTTTGTCACCTTGGGTGAGAACTATGAATAATTAATAAATTATTTAAATTCTTCTCTCTAAAAAATTTTGAATTGTTTCAGTTTTTCTATTTATAATCGTATGGCTTGTATTATTTGTATTATATATGTGCTGAAACAAATATGTACTAACAATGTGTTTAAAAAAAAATTCCATCATTTTATATCTTATCATATAAAAGAATAGTTGTTTAAATAGCACTTCAATGCTTCAAACTGGAACAAATGGAGTTTCTTGGTCGAGCTCACGTGGTGGATTACAATTTTTTTGTTGGAATACAACAACCATTTAGGTTAAAAAATTGTATGATATAAAAAAAAGTATATTTTATGAATATTTTGTCTTTCATGGCGCCATTGTGGTAAATCGTGTTAACCGGTCGGAACCGATCGTGGTAGTAAGTCGAGCACTAGCTGTATTTAATTATGTCTAGCGAGGTGTCAGATATTTCTTTCTAAACCAGTGGTGGGATTAGAAAATTTTAAATATTTAAGTATCTCATGGTCTAGGCATCTTGGACATCCGTGCAGGGCCATGGAAAGGTGGTACTCACCAAGTGTGTCATTACCAAGGGGCTCATTTTCTATACACTCTGGAATGTAGTTTCAGGCTCCGCCCAGGTGCCACTTTTTCTACACACGGTCCCACATCCATTTCGGACATAAAGCGTCTAGACTTTTTTGTCTAATAAAAGAGTCAAGTTTATTTTTTAAATTTGTGATGATTTTGTAGCCAATAAATAGTTGGTTATTTACAAAAAAATGCGGGAAAGTAATGAAATAAATGGCTATAGCAAAGTGAGTACCAGAACAAACAGATTACTATTAAAGTAAGACAAATTATATAGAACCACTAACACTGTCTCTCATTTTATTCAGCACAAACTAGAAATAATTAATCATGCTAAAATTAGGGAATTATCCATTGACACTTTTATAGTTTAAAGTTTTAGACTAAATATGTATGATTCATAATGACATATATGAATAATATATAATACAGTCTTCAAGCCTACTCTAACTCATTTTAAAATTTTGACTGCATCTATTTGCACTTTGACAGGCAATAATGACTAATTATCTTCTTTTTTTCATTTAGATGACGAGAATGAAGGAAATAATGATGGATCACTTAGATATGAAGATTCTGTTCTGGTTCTAGGTTCAGACAACTTCGAGGAAGCTATTAATGATAACTCTATCATTCTTGTTGAATTTTATGCTCCATGGTTTGTACTTTTACAACAGTAACCTTACAAATAAAATGAGTTCTGTTTAAAGTAAAAGTTTAGTAACACTACACTATTTTTTTAAAATCCTATTTTTTTAAATTCTTTTAAAACTTTTTAGGAACAAATTATAGTTAACTTTATAAAGTCCTTTACTTGACAAAATGGTCAAATAAAACGTCAATTTTAGAATTGTTTATGAATATTGTTTTTGCTGATCACTATCATGTTGATGTTATTTGGTTTTTTATTTAAACTATGTTCTCGTTTTCGAATTGTTTTTCAAACACTCAAACTTTCATGTATTAAAAATATTAATTTTAATTGTCTTCTTTTGACAGGTGTGGGCATTGTAAAAGTCTAGCACCAGAGTATGCAGCTGCAGCTAAAGAGCTTGCATCAAATGAGCCACCTGTGGTTCTTGCAAAGGTCGATGCAACCGTTCATAATGAGCTGGCTAAAAGGTGAGATCAATAAATCATTTCCGTCACCAAGATGGTCTTTAGCCAAATTTATATTTTTAAAATCAATATATAGCTGATTGCAGTAGATTGATATCATGCAATACAGTAGCAAACATGCCGACCTGCAAGATCAAAACTCTTTACACAAATTTCCAAAGCGCTGTGCAAAAATATAAAAATGGGTACACAAAAAAAAAATGTGTAAATATTTTTAATTGTTGATTCTTGTCATACTCGTTTCAATTGATCACTCTTTTTAATGCTAGCTTTTTTTCTCTTTCTAAAATGACCTATTTAGTTTTGAATGCAGTGTCTGTTTTTATTTTACGCTCTTTAATGCTAACTTTTTTCAAAAGTTTTGCCCATTAAACTTAAAGTTTTTAGCTGAATACTTACCAAGGAAAACTTTTACAAAAGGTAAAAAATAATTTTCTTTGCTATTGACTCTAGAACTTAGTCTTAATAACTAAATTAATCACCTCTCGTTGGTTCTATTTGACTATTTATCGCAATAATTTTCAGGTTTGATGTGGAGGGATACCCTACATTAAAGTTTTTTAAAAATGGCGTTAAGTATGACTATGATGGCCCAAGATTCACAAGTGGTAGGTTTAACATTAAATTTGATAAGCAATATTGTTAGCTGGACTCTGATGTGAGATAAACAAGTTACTGCCGTACCAACAACATTGGAAAAGCTATCAATATCAAAGAAAGTCTATAGATTGTAAGATGAATAGTGGGAATCATCATGCTGCTCTCACTACCCAGGAGTGTCATCCCCAACAGCCTGTGGGATGTCAACCAAGCAAGCACAGAATATAATTTAGTTTAAAAAATGGCTTAGGCATAAAGTATGTTCCATCACAGGTGGCCAAGAATGGGAACAGTTGACATACAGAGACAATTCAGTCACTTATTCCCCAATGTCTCACTAGGGGGTGGGGTAGGGCTGGAACAAAGACGAATTATAACTGATATTGTTCTGATCACCACTGATGTAATGAGACATCATTAATTTTAAATAATAATGCACACTGCAAATAATGAATTGTGGACTTGGTGTATTTGGTTTTGTGGTTGATCCATACTTACAAGACTTAGATAACATTTTTTTACAGATGTTTAAAGAAGTAAAAAATGAAATTCTGTTTTGTTTTTTCAGGAATTGTTGAGTACATGAAAGAAAGAGCTTCACCTACCTGGGAACCTGAGCCGGATGCTGTTGTGACCTTGACCCAAGAAAGCTTTGATGATTTTGTGGCCAGTCATGATTTGTTACTGGTTGAGTTTTACGCTCCATGGCAAGTTCCCTTAGTAGACTCACTAACATATTGATAATGACTTTAAAACAAAGGGCATTTGACTATTCCATTATTTACTTAGACTGTCCGACCTGACCTATTTATAGTTTTGATTTACATCATAATAATTCTTGCATTATTTTAGTTTTGTTAAAAATTATTATGATACTTAAATTATTTCAACTGAGGAAGATGTTGTAAATGTATAGAAATTTCAACGTGGATGTTGAATCTTTTATCAGACTAAGTTTGCTGAATCGTCTTACGTCTGCCTTTATGTTCAGGTGTGGTCACTGCAAGAGATTGGCACCCACATATGAAAAGGCGGCAAAGACACTGTTGAAAAATGATCCTCCTATTCCACTTGCCAAAGTGGATGCCACGAAAGAAACTGACCTGGCACAAAAGTACCAAATTGAAGGGTACCCGACTCTCAAAATATTTCGCAAAGGAAACCCTAGTCCTTACAATGGAAAAACTGACTCTGAATATGGTATGAATTTGATCTCTAGTCTCACTTTATAGTCAGGTCTCATGCTTAGAAGTTTAATTGATATCCAGAATAAAATAGCAAAACGGTAGTAAAAAGATTCTTTTAATCATTCTTGTTTCGACTTTTTATGATGACGCATCCACATTATTCATTGACCTAATCAAATGTTAACCCACTGCACACTCCATCAGTGAAGAATTTTAATAAAGTATGTGTTGTTGAGTCATTTAAATATTTTAGAACATTTCGAAAACTCTGGCGACCTAGAACACCTAGAGAGCACGGTGAAACACACACAAAAAAACACTGCTATCATCTAATGCTTCCTGGTCTATTTCCTAAGTCTTGCCATTGGATTAAATGTGCAAGGACAAGAGAGTGAGGCTCATGAGCCACTCTCCCTCACTTTAAACAAAATCCAGCTCAATTCAAGGCCATAACTCAAGTCCAAAATTGCTTTGGTCATCCTGGCGTCAGAAGGATGAGCAATTAAAATGATAAATGTATGAGCACCATTTGTGTGGAGGCTTAGTGCTACAAAATGATCTCATCTGCCCCCAAATCCTGGGTGGAATCAACTGATCAGCTTAACAACATATTCTTTATGCTTTTTGGAAAAACCCTAACAATGAAACACAGAAGTTACCATCTAATGAGTTGTTAGGAAGAAGACATCCCAAATTATCTGACACACTGAAACCAAATTTTAAAAAAACTCACTTTTTCAGATTCATAAGCTAAGAAATGATAGATACATATCACTTTGATTTTACGCTAAATGAATTTTTTTGTTGTCTTCCAACAGATATTGTAGTCTTCATGAAGAACCAGGTCGGAGATGGGGCTAAAGTCATTAAAAATGTCAAAGCATTGAAAGATTTCTTCTCAGTTGATGACATCACTGTGGTTGGATTCTTTGAGTCCCAGGATAATCCTTTACTTAAACCTTATAAGGATGTGGGTAAGAACCTGAACAATAGCTTTATGTTCAATTTGAAATATTAGCAATACATTGTGTTATCAATCTTATATGATCTACTTAAACTGAAGTGAAATCATTCCATCCAAGACAAATAAATTACCGGTACGTATCTATTAAATGCAAAAAATGTAGCTGTCTTCTGTATGATTTTGCTATTATCTAACATCCAATCAATCTATCAAAATTGAACTGTTGTTACTCCAGCTGAAATAAAAGACACGACATAATGTTAGGCCACGTGTTTCTTTGTCAATGATGACTGTTGGTTTATATTGGTTCGTCCACATATTAGGACGACAGCAAGGTTTATTATTTTAACTTGTTTTGGCAGCTGATGAAATCAGGGATGAGTACTCATTTGGTGTGACATATGATGAAGAGGCAAGGAAGGCGTACAAGATTCCTCCCAACTCTGTTGTGGTGTTTAATGCTGAACGGTTTTACACTAAGTATGAACAGAAATGGTATATCCTGAATATAAAGGTAAGTTACAAACTATCGTCTACCTCTACAAATCTCAATATTTAGTATTTTTATTCTATTAGTTAAATTGTTTTTATATTTTTTTTAATGATGTTGCTGTCAAGAATTATTTGGTCTTGCTGCCATGATTTACTTGGTCTTACTATCATGATTTATTTGGTCTTACTGCCAAGATTTACTTGGTCTTACTGTCATGATTTACTTGGTCTTACTGCCAAGATTTACTTGGTCTTACTGTCATGATTTATTTGGTCTTACTGCCAAGATTTACTTGGTCTTACCCCCATGATTTATTTTGTCTTACTGTCATCATTTATTTGTCTTACCGTCATCATACTTTGTCTTACAGTCATCATTTGCTTTGTCTTACCGTCATATACTTTGTCTTACAGTTATCATTTGCTTTGTCTTACTGTCATCATATACTTTGTCTTACAGACATCATTTACTTTTTTGGCCTTATTTATGCTATGCCATTTTGTCTTCAGTCTGACACCACAGCTGATGATGTGAAAGAGTTCATTTCCAAACATTCTCTGCCTTTGGTGGGTCATTACTTCAGACCTCAAATTAATCGCTATGAGAATAAGAGACCATTGTGTCTTGTTTTTTACTCCGTTGACTTCAGCTTTGATCACAGGGAAGGTAAATAAGTCAAAAAGTCTCGGTTGTGTTGGTCTACCTGACATTTACTAACCAATTATCCAGGTGAAATTTATTGTTAAATGTTTTAGTTACTATTTTAATTTTCAGACTTCATATGAGCATACAATTAAATTATCTTGTGCTTACATTTATTCATGTATAATCCAGCCGACTTTGACAGGTATGGTAGGCCTACATTTCATTGTTCATCTCATCTAAACATCTAAATATTGTTATATCTTGACAGTGTAGTTGAAAGATATGTTGTCGTCAAATCTTCCAGTCAAACTTGTCTAATAAAATTGGTGCCTACTGTATTTCAGCCACACAGTTCTGGAGAGTTAAAGTGGCTTCGATAGCCAGGAAGTTCCCAGAAATCACCTTCGCCGTGGCTGATGATGAGACCAATGCTAAACTTATGGAGGACTTTGGTCTGTCAGATTCAGGAGAGGAGATCAACATCGGAATCTTTGGGGCTGACAATAAAAAGTATCGCATGGAGCCCACGGAGGAGTTCGACACAGAGGAAATTATTGAGTTCTTAAAAAAGTTCAAAAAAGGTTAGTTTTCACTGGTCAGAAAAATGGACTTCCTGATAGAACAAAAAAGTCATGATGCAACTTAAACAGGAAATCAGCTGAATTCTCAGTCCCTAATTTCTTACGTTTATTAAAGTAGACGGACCCTTGGTAAGCGGGATAGGCTAACTTTAAGTTTTAAAACTAGGGTAAATTAAAGTTTTAAAACTAGGCTAAATTAAAGTTTTAAAACTAGGCTAAATTAAAGTTTTAAAACTAGGCTAAATTAAAGTTTTAAAACTAGGCTAAATTAAAGTATTAAAGCTAGGCTAAATTAAAGTTTTAAAACTAGGCTAAATTAAAGTATTAAAGCTAAGTTAAATTAAAGTTTTAAAACTAGGCTAAATTAAAGTATTAAAGCTAAGTTAAATTAAAGTTTTAAAACTAGGCTAAATTAAAGTATTAAAGCTAAGTTAAATTAAAGTTTTAAAACTAGGCTAAATTAAAGTATTAAAGCTAAGTTAAATTAAAGTTTTAAAACTAGGCTAAATTAAAGTATTAAAGCTAAGTTAAATTAAAGTTTTAAAACTAGGCTAAATTAAAGTATTAAAGCTAAGTTAAATTAAAGTTTTAAAACTAGGCTAAATTAAAGTATTAAAGCTAAGTTAAATTAAAGTTTTAAAACTAGGCTAAATTAAAGTATTAAAGCTAAGTTAAATTAAAGTTTTAAAACTAGGCTAAATTAAAGTATTAAAGCTAAGTTAAATTAAAGTTTTAAAACTAGGCTAAATTAAAGTATTAAAGCTAAGTTAAATTAAAGTTTTAAAACTAGGCTAAATTAAAGTATTAAAGCTAAGTTAAATTAAAGTTTTAAAACTGTCATTAATAAGGCCTGACAACCCCTGAGGCGGCTCATATGTTGAAAAAAGCAACTATCCTTTCTATTATCATAAAGTTATGAATACACAATTAATTTCTCCTTTAAATTTCTTTACTTTTTCTGTGGGCAAGCTGTACATTTTTTGGACCCATTTTTGTTTCTAGTATTATGAGTTGATTTCAGTTAATAATTTCTTCAATTTTTTTCATAGCTGTTCCAATGCCCTTGACCCGCTGACCCAAATTTAATTGGGCACTTGATGTTTGAAACATCACTGATATTTATAGCTACATCTTGGACATAGATCGTTTTTTACAGGTAAACTGAAGCCCCACATCAAGTCACAGAGAGCTCCTAAAAAACAAACAGGGCCAGTAACTGTCGTAGTTGCCAACACCTTCAATGAGATTGTGCTTAATCCAAAGAAAGACGTCCTCATTGAACTCTATGCCCCTTGGTGTGGACACTGCAAAAAGCTGGAGCCTATCTACGCAGAGTTGGCCAAGAAGTTCAAATCTGAGAAGAACCTGGTGATAGCCAAGCTGGACGCCACGGCCAATGATCTTCCCGACTTGTACAGTGCGTCTGGCTACCCAACTATTTATTTTGCCCCCGCCAATTGGAAAAAAATTCTCCAGTAAAATATGAGGGAGAAAGAGATCTAAATGGTTTTGAGAAGTTCTTGAAGGAGCATGCAACAGTTTCCTTTGGTAAAATTGGTAAAGATGAGTTGTGATCTCATGTAAATCCAGTAGATTTGCACAAGTAGTCAAGTAGCCTTTGGTTTGTTATACAGGTACACTGCACAACAGTTTTTTTTTTTATTTTAATTTTTTAAAATTAGATTAATAAGATGACATATAAATGATGGATCATATCAACTTACTAACATAATGTTTTTTTAAATCTGAATGTTTAGACTTGTCTCCCTTTATGGATGATATAATATTTTTTGCTGGCCTTTGATAAGAACCTCCTTAAATGCCACAGAAGTGAGATTTAGTCTCTACTTTTTTAAACTCTTATTTATATATATAGGAATATTAAGGATTTTAACATTTTATTTAGTATCCTAAGACGTATTGTGTATCACATTTTTACCATCATGCATATGAATTTTAAACATTTTTATTGTGAAGACAATGGTGGCAGTGTTCATAGGAAGTGGATGAACAAATACTATTTGAGTTAATAAAGTAGACTTGAAATACAATTAGACTAGCTAGTTACATAGTGAGTTGTTGTTGTTGAATTAGAGTATCTAGTGAGACAGTGAAGTAGTTAGTTGCATTGTCTCTTCTGTTGTTTAATGGCCACCTGTTTAAAAGGTTGCATCTAAATAGTTCATGATCCTTATTTCAGTCAAGGTACCATGTTAATGATATGAAGAAAATAGTTTAACTAGAACAAGAATGCTAGCACTGAACCAGGCAATATTTAGTTTCTAGAAGAAAATAACATCTGATTTCTTATCTGATTCTTGATTATATGTAATGTCAAGGTATTATGTCATTATATTGTGTCATTTTATCTCATTTTGGAATGATGTGCTTTCTTTGATGTGCTCAGTTTGTAAGTACCGGTAGATCTTTTGCCCCTACTTCCAGGTGAACATTGTGTAAGTCAGTGTGCTCATTCACATCAATGTAGTTGACTCATCTTGAGACTTGGGCTGCACTAAATGCTGATGTCTTGGTTAAGTCAGTGTGCTCATTCACATCAATGTAGTTGACTCATCTTGAGACTTGGGCTGCACTAAATGCTGATGTCTTGGTTAAGACAGTGTGCTCATTCACATCAATGTAGTTGACTCATCTTGAGACTTGGGCTGCACTAAATGCTGATGTCTTGGTTAAGTCAGTGTGCTCATTCACATCAATGTAGTTGACTCATCTTGAGACTTGGGCTGCACTAAATGCTGATGTCTTGGTTAAGACAGTGTGCTCATTCACATCAATGTAGTTGACTCATCTTGAGACTTGGGCTGCACTAAATGCTGATGTCTTGGTTAAGTCAGTGTGCTCATTCACATCAATGTAGTTGACTCATCTTGAGACTTGGGCTGCACTAAATGCTGATGTCTTGGTTAAGACAGTGTGCTCATTCACATCAATGTAGTTGACTCATCTTGAGACTTGGGCTGCACTAAATGCTGATGTCTTGGTTAAGTCAGTGTGCTCATTCACATCAATGTAGTTGACTCATCTTGAGACTTGGGCTGCACTAAATGCTGATGTCTTGGTTAAGACAGTGTGCTCATTCACATCAATGTAGTTGACTCATCTTGAGACTTGGGCTGCACTAAATGCTGATGTCTTGGTTAAGTCAGTGTGCTCATTCACATCAATGTAGTTGACTCATCTTGAGACTTGGGCTGCACTAAATGCTGATGTCTTGGTTAAGAATGTCATATACCTAAAGTATTATTTTTAAAACATAACATTTGGTCCTGCCGTTGAATAATTCATCTCATACTGTGATTATAAAGGGGCTTCATGGAGCGAACATTTTAACACTCCATTTCACCAACAACATTTCACAGGGTTCCCGCGGCCTCCTGAAATTCCAGGAGCTCCTGGAAATCTCCTGGAATTTGAAAACAAATGATAAAATCCTGGAAAACTCCTTAAATTTTAAAATTTCTCCTGAAATGTCCTGAAATTTTTGTTTCCACAGAGGGAGGGGGAAAAAAAATGGTCGCGATAGTTATTTTATAAATTAATATTACCGCTATATTCAATTCGTAGTCTATTTTTAGCCATTCATTTTATCAAAACGAGTTTGCCATAATAATTATAGTGGTTTCCCCTTAACTGCGCATGCGCTTTACGAGTTTCGGATATGAAATGTCGTACCGTAATGCTTTGATAGACAAGAAGTTTTTTTCGTTCCGTTCAGTTCGCCGTTCAACTAATTTATTTGGTAAGTATAGTGTAAAATACAGTAAATAGATATTTATCTGTAGTTATTTAAATTTTTGGTAACTATTATTAGTATTATGAATAGAAAACTACGCGCCCGATCGCTGTATAATTTGACTAAGCTTAGCCTAATTTTTTTTTAAAGTTGAAGTTTTGTTAGTTTTACCGTAGGTTGTCCAAACTGGAGAAAGCGTAGTTTTAGTTTTGGGGTCATTTTCCGAAGTTTTCAAAAACAAAAATTAACCTACTTATATAGTAGTTTTAAAGGAGTACAATTGATATGAATATGTGAATAAAGTTTAAGTCTTTATCTGACGAATTATCTTACTTTTATGTCTTTAACACGAGTTTGAAAAGTATCAGTTTTGACCATTATATTATACGGCGATACGGCGTTTTCGCGAGTATGGTGTTGCAAACGCTCGCGGCTTTTACAGTTAGCAAAGAAGATGAAATTGATTTTTATTTATAAATATTAACAAAAGGTAGTAAGTAGTAGGCCTTTTTTATAACAATTATATTGACACATATTTTTTTAAACATAGTTTATAGTGAGTGCTAGGCCTTTTTGTAAGTTAAGTTTAGTTAGGCCTTCTAAATAGGAGAATACTAAATAAAAAAAGTTATGTTATGTTATTTTTGCATGTTGTAGCATAGTTTACGATGACTTCAAAAATGACTTCGGAACTTCATTTTAAAGTTATTAAAACTAGCTGATGCAACCATTGAGCTTCACATAACTTTACATAGTTAGTCCTTATTTATACACGTAGTTAAAAATTAAGTGATGCACCCCTGTGCTCTAGGTATAGGCATACTTTGCGGTATTATAAGCATAGTTGGCTTGGGAAGGGGGGGGGGAGACTTCCGAAATTTAAAAAAAAAAAGTGGTTGCTTGGTCGCTGACCCATTCCCCTGTTTAAAATCCGGACTAAGCCGTTACATAGGCATATGCCTATATTAGTTTCTCTTCTGACTCTCTCTGTATTATTATTAATTTAGTACCAGTATAACTTATAATATAGTCAATATTATAGACCTAATATGATAATAAATTAATTCTATTTTATTTCACTATTCAAGGTCTAGGGTAAATAAATGCCCAACGGTTCCTTTGAGGACTGATAATTAAGATAGCAATCCTGATTGAACAAGCCATCACTGCTACTCTATACTAGATATTGACTCTGAACTGAGTCAATCCCAAGCTAGTGGCTAGTGTACTGGAGTTCTATCCCCAGAAAATGCCTAGACAAGCAAAAACATCACCAGCATGCCGGGTAGATGGAACTCGTTAACTTTGAATGGCAACTCAACTTGGAGAAGGAAAACTATGAAATCAAACCCGGAGATGGAGACCCGTAGACATTATGACATTGACTCAATGAAAATTCTGACAAAATCCTATGACGTAGAAAGCATAAAGAGCATAGTGAAACACACACACACTCAATCTGGTAATCTACTGCATCCTGATCTATATCCAGTCGTCTTGACTAATCTTACCATTGAATCAAATAGGCAACGACGAGAGAGTGGCTCTGGCGAATTGAGCAACTCTCCCTAAATTTCAACAAAATACAGCTCACGTCACGTCTTAGGGATCTTTATGAGTACAGGAAAAAACAAAAATACTGTAAATATATGAAGTATATTTGCAGGACAGTTCTCGGATGCCATGAAAATTAGGGGAAAATGATCAACAATGATAAACAACAATCATCTGAGTCTTCCTCTAGTTCAACTTCAGTTTTTTCACCTACCTCGGGTGTCCACTTGTCTGCCTTTATGTTCAGGTGTGGTCACTGCAAGAGATTGGCACCCACATATGAAAAGGCGGCAAAGACACTGTTGAAAAATGATCCTCCTATTCCACTTGCCAAAGTGGATGCCACGAAAGAAACTGACCTGGCACAAAAGTACCAAATTGAAGGGTACCCGACTCTCAAAATATTTCGCAAAGGAAACCCTAGTCCTTACAATGGAAAAACTGACTCTGAATATGGTATGAATTTGATCTCTAGTCTCACTTTATAGTCAGGTCTCATGCTTAGAAGTTTAATTGATATCCAGAATAAAATAGCAAAACGGTAGTAAAAAGATTCTTTTAATCATTCTTGTTTCGACTTTTTATGATGACGCATCCACATTATTCATTGACCTAATCAAATGTTAACCCACTGCACACTCCATCAGTGAAGAATTTTAATAAAGTATGTGTTGTTGAGTCATTTAAATATTTTAGAACATTTCGAAAACTCTGGCGACCTAGAACACCTAGAGAGCACGGTGAAACACACACAAAAAAACACTGCTATCATCTAATGCTTCCTGGTCTATTTCCTAAGTCTTGCCATTGGATTAAATGGGCAAGGACAAGAGAGTGAGGCTCATGAGCCACTCTCCCTCACTTTAAACAAAATCCAGCTCAATTCAAGGCCATAACTCAAGTCCAAAATTGCTTTGGTCATCCTGGCGTCAGAAGGATGAGCAATTAAAATGATAAATGTATGAGCACCATTTGTGTGGAGGCTTAGTGCTACAAAATGATCTCATCTGCCCCCAAATCCTGGGTGGAATCAACTGATCAGCTTAACAACATATTCTTTATGCTTTTTGGAAAAACCCTAACAATGAAACACAGAAGTTACCATCTAATGAGTTGTTAGGAAGAAGACATCCCAAATTATCTGACACACTGAAACCAAATTTTAAAAAAACTCACTTTTTCAGATTCATAAGCTAAGAAATGATAGATATATATCACTTTGATTTTACGCTAAATGAATTTTTTTGTTGTCTTCCAACAGATATTGTAGTCTTCATGAAGAACCAGGTCGGAGATGGGGCTAAAGTCATTAAAAATGTCAAAGAATTGAAAGATTTCTTCTCAGTTGATGACATCACTGTGGTTGGATTCTTTGAGTCCCAGGATAATCTTTTACTTAAACCTTATAAGGATGTGGGTAAGAACCTGAACAATAGCTTTATGCTCAATTTGAAATATTAGCAATACATAGTGTTATCAATCTTATATGATCTACTTAAACTGAAGTGAAATCATTTCGTACAAGACAAATAAATTACCGCTACTGATTTATTATCTGCAAAAAAATTAGCGGTCTTCTGTGTGATTTTGCTATTATCTAACATCCAATCAATCTATCAAAATTGAACTGTTGTTACTCCAGCTGAAATAAAATACACCACATAATGTTAGGCCATGATCATTATTGGTTTATATTGGTTCGTCCACATATTAGGACGACAGCAAGGTTTATTATTTTAACTTGTTTTGGCAGCTGATGAAATCAGGGATGAGTACTCATTTGGTGTGACATATGATGAAGAGGCAAGGAAGGCGTACAAGATTCCTCCCAACTCTGTTGTGGTGTTTAATGCTGAACGGTTTTACACTAAGTATGAACAGAAATGGTATATCCTGAATATAAAGGTAAGTTACAAACTATCGTCTACCTCTACAAATTTCAATCTTTAATATTTTTATTCCATTATTTAAATTGTTTTTATATTTTCTTAACGATATTACTGTCAAGAATTATTTGGTCTTGCTGCCATGATTTACTTGGTCTTACCGCCAAGATTTATTTTGTCTTACTGTCATCATTTATTTGTCTTACCGTCATCATACTTTGTCTTACAGTCATCATTTGCTTTGTCTTACCGTCATATACTTTGTCTTACAGTTATCATTTGCTTTGTCTTACTGTCATCATATACTTTTTCTTACAGACATCATTTACTTTTTTGGCCTTATTTATGCTATGCCATTTTGTCTTCAGTCTGACACCACAGCTGATGATGTGAAAGAGTTCATTTCCAAACATTCTCTGCCTTTGGTGGGTCATTACTTCAGACCTCAAATTAATCGCTATGAGAATAAGAGACCCTTGTGTCTTGTTTTTTACTCCGTTGACTTCAGCTTTGATCACAGGGAAGGTAAATAAGTCAAAAAGTCTCGGTTGTGTTGGTCTACCTGACATTTACTTACCAATTATCCAGGTGAAATTTATTGTTAAATGTTTTAGTTACTATTTGAATTTTCAGACTTCATATGAGCATAAAATTAAATTATCTTGTGCTTACATTTATTCATGTATAATCCAGCCGACTTTGACAGGTATGGTAGGCCTACATTTCATTGTTCATCTCATCTAAACATCTAAATATTGTTATATCTTGACAGTGTAGTTGAAAGATATGTTGTCGTCAAATCTTCCAGTCAAACTTGTCTAATAAAATTGGTGCCTACTGTATTTCAGCCACACAGTTCTGGAGAGTTAAAGTGGCTTCGATAGCCAGGAAGTTCCCAGAAATCACCTTCGCCGTGGCTGATGATGAGACCAATGCTAAACTTATGGAGGACTTTGGTCTGTCAGATTCAGGAGAGGAGATCAACATCGGAATCTTTGGGGCTGACAATAAAAAGTATCGCATGGAGCCCACGGAGGAGTTCGACACAGAGGAAATTATTGAGTTCTTAAAAAAGTTCAAAAAAGGTTAGTTTTCACTGGTCAGAAAAATGGACTTCCTGATAGAACAAAAAAGTCATGATGCAACTTAAACAGGAAATCAGCTGAATTCTCAGTCCCTAATTTCTTACGTTTATTAAAGTAGACGGACCCTTGGTAAGCGGGATAGGCTAACTTTAAGTTTTAAAACTAGGCTAAATTAAAGTTTTAAAACTAGGCTAAATTAAAGTTTTAAAACTAGGCTAAATTAAAGTTTTAAAACTAGGCTAAATTAAAGTTTTAAAACTGTCATTAATAAGGCCTGACAACCCCTGAGGCTCATATGTTGAAAAAAGCAACTATCCTTTCTATTATCATAAAGTTATGAATACACAATTAATTTCTCCTTTAAATTTCTTTACTTTTTCTGTGGGCAAGCTGTACATTTTTTGGACCCATTTTTGTTTCTAGTATTATGAGTTGATTTCAGTTAATAATTTCTTCAATTTTTTTCATAGCTGTTCCAATGCCCTTGACCCGCTGACCCAAATTTAATTGGGCACTTGATGTTTGAAACATCACTGATATTTATAGCTACATCTTGGACATAGATCGTTTTTTACAGGTAAACTGAAGCCCCACATCAAGTCACAGAGAGCTCCTAAAAAACAAACAGGGCCAGTAACTGTCGTAGTTGCCAACACCTTCAATGAGATTGTGCTTAATCCAAAGAAAGACGTCCTCATTGAACTCTATGCCCCTTGGTGTGGACACTGCAAAAAGCTGGAGCCTATCTACGCAGAGTTGGCCAAGAAGTTCAAATCTGAGAAGAACCTGGTGATAGCCAAGCTGGACGCCACGGCCAATGATCTGCCCGACTTGTACAGTGCGTCTGGCTACCCAACTATATATTTTGCCCCCGCCAATGGGAAAAATTCTCCAGTAAAATATGAGGGAGAAAGAGATCTAAATGGTTTTGAGAAGTTCTTGAAGGAGCATGCAACAGTTTCCTTTGGTAAAATTGGTAAAGATGAGTTGTGATCTCATGTAAATCCAGTAGATTTGCACAAGTAGTCAAGTAGCCTTTGGTTTGTTATACAGGTACACTGCACAACAGTTTTTTTTTTTATTTTAATTTTTTAAAATTAGATTAATAAGATGACATATAAATGATGGATCATATCAACTTACTAACATAATGTTTTTTTAAATCTGAATGTTTAGACTTGTCTCCCTTTATGGATGATATAATATTTTTTGCTGGCCTTTGATAAGAACCTCCTTAAATGCCACAGAAGTGAGATTTAGTCTCTACTTTTTTAAACTCTTATTTATATATATAGGAATATTAAGGATTTTAACATTTTATTTAGTATCCTAAGACGTATTGTGTATCACATTTTTACCATCATGCATATGAATTTTAAACATTTTTATTGTGAAGACAATGGTGGCAGTGTTCATAGGAAGTGGATGAACAAATACTATTTGAGTTAATAAAGTAGACTTGAAATACAATTAGACTAGCTAGTTACATAGTGAGTTGTTGTTGTTGAATTAGAGTATCTAGTGAGACAGTGAAGTAGTTAGTTGCATTGTCTCTTCTGTTGTTTAATGGCCACCTGTTTAAAAGGTTGCATCTAAATAGTTCATGATCCTTATTTCAGTCAAGGTACCATGTTAATGATATGAAGAAAATAGTTTAACTAGAACAAGAATGCTAGCACTGAACCAGGCAATATTTAGTTTCTAGAAGAAAATAACGTCTGATTTCTTATCTGATTCTTGATTATATGTAATGTCAAGGTATTATGTCATTATATTGTGTCATTTTATCTCATTTTGGAATGATGTGCTTTCTTTGATGTGCTCAGTTTGTAAGTACCGGTAGATCTTTTGCCCCTACTTCCAGGTGAACATTGTGTAAGTCAGTGTGCTCATTCACATCAATGTAGTTGACTCATCTTGAGACTTGGGCTGCACTAAATGCTGATGTCTTGGTTAAGTCAGTGTGCTCATTCACATCAATGTAGTTGACTCATCTTGAGACTTGGGCTGCACTAAATGCTGATGTCTTGGTTAAGTCAGTGTGCTCATTCACATCAATGTAGTTGACTCATCTTGAGACTTGGGCTGCACTAAATGCTGATGTGTTGGTTAAGTCAGTGTGCTCATTCACATCAATGTAGTTGACTCATCTTGAGACTTGGGCTGCACTAAATGCTGATGTCTTGGTTAAGAATGTCATATACCTAAAGTATTATTTTTAAAACATAACATTTGGTCCTGCCGTTGAATAATTCATCTCATACTGTGATTATAAAGGGGCTTCATGGAGCGAACATTTTAACACTCCATCTCACCAACAACATTTCAATGTGTTTCCATGGTGTCTAAATCTCTGTTCTTAAATTTTGTCAAACTGATACATTTGATTTAAATGATGTTAAATATCTAGTAGTTTAAGAGTAAATTCAGAAACATCTTTTTACTTCATTCACTATTTCCATCTGTTGTGACTGCTGAAATAAACAAACTGCAAATACAGTGTTTTAAGTTTAACTTCAAATTTTCTTCCCAAGTATTTGTTCAATGTGTTTTTATTTCATGTTCTTTGATTGTTCAATTTGTTTTGACCAAGTTATCTTGATCCACTTTGAATCTTTGTATTCTATTTCTTTCAATACTAGTCCATAGAGAAGTCTCACTAATCATTGGAACTTTAGGTAATTCAACTATTCATGAATTAGTCATGTTATGTGGAGAGCTGATGGTGTCACCATCGGTGTACATATAAGACATTGCAGAATAAATGAATGGTTTGATCACATTGTACTTCAACATAAACCACCATCTATAATAATAAGTGGATCTTTCTTCTCTCTCTCTCCCCCCCCCCTTTTCTACACACCAAATGCACATAAAGGACACATTCATTACCCCCATGCTGTGTGCAGTGTAGGGTTTGCAAAAGTCAAGGGGTATTCATCCTTTGATGGTAAATATATTTGGAGCCCCATCTAGAATTTTTTATTATTGATAGATTATCCACCTCTTCCCATAGGAGATGACATGTAGTGAAATATCAAGTACAACAATTAAGATATAGATCATTGAAATCTTTCATCATTCTTTCAACAAGACTCTAACAATGAGGCAAGAAAAGGGAACACTCAAGAAATGACTTATGTCAGTCACAAAAATTACGTACTTTACCTTTGTCACAAAAATTACGTACTTTACGAGTTCTTAAAGTAAAAGGCTAACATGTTTCCTATGTTGATCTAAATTTTGGCTATTTTTAGACTTCACCACTTCTCTCTGATTATTGTTAGATTAATCATCATACTAATATATTATAATCTTTGTAATATTTCATACTATGTTTTATGAATCTTGCATTTCTGTTAATGTTACATTCCTTGACTCACAATCTAAAACCATTTTTAGAAAGATTAAATCAATTTGTTATGTTAGATTTGACATGTTGGACAACTAATATGTAATGTTAGATTTGCAATTTTGGACAACCAGTTTGTAATGTTAGATTTGCAATGTTGGACAACCAGTTTGTAATGTTAGATTTGAAATGTTTGATGGTCAGTATGTAATCTTATGAAATGTTGGACAAGAAATAAGGAATGTTAGATTTTAAATGTTGGACAACCAAAATGGAATGTTTAATTTGAAATGTTGGACTATCAGTACATAATCTTAGATTTGAAATGTTGGACAACCGATATGAAATGTTTGATTTGAAATGTTGGACAAGTCCCCCAAGAATGAAACATGAAACTTGATTTCTGGATGAAATGTTGAACTGCCCAAAAGGCATTATGAAATATAACTGACTGAGGCATTACAAGGCTGGTTAAGGCTAGGAAGTAATATAGAAGAACTACTTAATAACTACTTAGACTCTTCATCAATTCTATTATAAGCTTGGATATGATTTATCACCATATTTTACCTGGATATATCAGTCAAATGTGCCCGTATAAAAGGCATCTTTTGTTCATATAATTTGTTTACATTCAGTGATGCTCTCCTTGTCTTGTTCTATTACATTTATGACATGTCGTTATTCCACGACCTGTATGGCCGATTCTGAAATGAACAGTTGGTCTTCATTCTACTTGTCCAATATGGTGTTGTTGTATTCCTTACTCTTACTCTTATGATTGTGCCTTTAAACCAGCTTGTCTTTAAATATGTACTGGTACAAATCATTATTGTAGGACATTCATGTGTAATTATTTGCTTATCATTAAAGATTGATGAAATGTTTTATGATTTGTTGAAATGATTGAATTTTGTGATCCTCTCAATTTCTATCTAGATCTGTCTCTGTGCTACTCTGTATGACCCTCTCTATGTAGATACTAAAAGTAGGTCTATATTGACTAAAAAGATTCTAAAAGTAGATCTATGTTGACTATGTAGATTCTAAAAGTAGGTCTACATTGATTATGTAAATGCTAAAAGTAGGTATATAGTGACCATGTAGATATTAAAAATAGAATGTTTATATTGACTATGTAAGTACTAAAACTAGGTCTATATTGACTAGGTGGATACGAAAATATATCTATATTGACTAGATACTGAAATTAGACCTATCTAGAATGTAAATTTATACTGAAAGTAGGTCAATAGTGGGTGGGGATTTATACTAAATGTAGGTCTATATTGCTTTAGATTGTACTAAAGAAAGTCTATATTGACTATCTAGATACTAAAGTAGGTTTATATGGCATATGTAAATTTATACTGAAAGTAGGTCAATAAATACTATGCTATGTGGATTTATACTAAAAGTAGGTCTTTATTGACTATATAGATTTCTAACATGTCTATATTAATATTGACTATGTAGATTTATATTGAAAGTAGGTCTATATTGATAAGATTTATACTGTGTTTCGAGTTTAAAAAAAATTTATATAGGTCCCCTGTTTTCCTTTATGTAGATTATTAAGGCCACTTGGGCTATGTCTAGGGTATGACTATATATTTACTAATTAAGTACTGTAAATTATCTCACTCCACACTCACTCTAACATTCAATGACAATCTCACTAGCTCTCACTTCTATTAATACTATAACTATACTAATAAAACACAGGTAGTTCACCCCACAAATAAATATTTAATTATAAAAAGAATTATCTACATACACATTACATATACTATAGACACATAATAATAATAATAAAGTTTATTTGAAAAAACACGCTTCATCCTCAAAAGCTCGAAGCACGGTACAAAGTCAACCATATTAAAAAGAGAAATAAAAACAATCTAAAATCTGCCACTTTTTAAAAAAAACCAGACGCAACAATATAAAACTACATACGAGCATACCAAGTCAAAGTCTTTTATCCCGTTTCAACCATAAGCAACACAAGCCAATATACATTAACTGAAGAAAAAAAAAATATAGTAGATAGTATCACCCCAGAAGGTGTTTGCGAAATAGATGTGTTTTTAAATCGGTTTTAAAAGACTCCAGTGTCTGGCTGTTTCTGAGAGCGACTGGAAGGGCGTTCCAAATTGTTGGGCCGGCAAATGCAAAAGTGTTAGTCTCAAGGCGAACACACTGTATCGATATTTTGCCACTATCGGATTAGCGGAGCTGTCTAGTGGGTGCATAAGGCGTCATGAGTGCTTTGAGATAAGATGGCGCCATGTCATGTAAACAGCTGTAGCACAAAGTTGAAATTTTGTACTCTATTCGAGCGCGGACCGGCAGCCAGTGCAACTCTCTTAGAAGTGTTTTAGCATGGTCAAACTTGCGTTTGCGAAGGTTAATGCAAGCCGCATTATTCTGTGCTCTTTGAATTTATCCAGAAGCGTAGTTGGGAGACTCAACATGAGAGCATTGCAGTAGTCCATGCGTGATAACACAAATGCAGACATCAGCCTCTTTGATGCATCTAACGTTAAGAAAGGTATGATTTGATAATCCTGCGCTTCTCTATAAAAATTGCCTTGCAAAGCATGTTAATATGATTTTCCATAGTAAGTGTTCTGTCTAAATAGACACCCAGGTTTCGCAATGTATGAGCAAACTCAATCTGCATACCTGAGAGAGTAAACGATGTTGTGTTTTTTACAGATTGTTGTTTCTGAGCAGTGGCAATGAGGATCAGCTCAGTCTTTTCATCATTCAATTTGAGCTTGTTTATGGTCATCCAGTGCTTAACTGACTCCACTGTCTTCTGTGTCGTACTAAGAAGTTGAGGGAACTCAGAGGGTAAAACAGATTGATGAAGTGGTTTATCGTCCGCGAACATGTGATACAGCATGTCAAATTGCTTGATCACTGCACCCAGTGGCTGAATGTACATTGTGAAAAGCATCGGGCCTAGGACCGAGCCCTGGGGTACTCCGAATTCGATTATAGATTGCTTCGAAGTCAAGCCGTTTGAAATAACTGACTGGACCCGATTAGTATATACGAGTGAAACCATCTCTGGACGATATCTGTAAGACCGAACGTTTTTTGCAGACGTTATAAAGGATAACGAGATATACTGCCCAATATTATTAATTATTATGTTCCGACTGACGATCTTGTCCACTAGGTAGGTCCAACACACACTCACACACACACACACGCACGCACGCACGCACGCACGCACGCACGCACACACACACAGAGCTGCCTTCTTGGTTTTTGCCTCCCTCTTCGCTTTGCTCACTGGTCACGGCACACTGTGGGCGTCTCGCTTGAGTAAGTGGTCTCCGGTCACT